CCCCTGGATTTTTTGAGCTGCCCCAGTGTCCAAGGGCCTTTGGCTCCATAAGGCCTTGCACTGTGGCAATGGCCCTTGGATTCCAGGAGGTTCCAAAATGTCACAATGGCTCTGATACCAAAAAGTTGCAGAATCAATCACCTCCACCCCAATTTGTAAGTGTTAAGAAGCAGGAATATTTCTTTATTCAGCACTGGATGTTGGCAGGGAAGCTCCTAAAAACCAAGGTGCCAAATGACTGATGGACAGGGCTTCTTATTGCACACACTGGTTACATATTCATTAGATCAGGTTTGCTTAATGCGTATTCATTAGTTTGCTTCACAGTCACCCCCTTGGAGGTCCTTCTTTGGTCCTTCCAGGCTTCGTCTGTTGCCTCAGTTCTTGAGTAGGCCCATCGTCATCCTGTTCCACCACCACAAACTGGTATGTTTCTTCTTCACCTTATCTGGGGACACTGAGTTTATTTACAACCTGTTTGTTTGAGTTACACCTCTGATCTAATTCTCCAGGACTTCCTGAAGAGTACATTGTTCCATATTTGGGCATTCTGGGACACAGTGAGTCAAGTTTCTTTTTCTCCCATCACCATCCCATGGCACATCCAGGCAGGACATCCAGGGGATCAGGCCCAGCCAGTGTGGGGTTTGGGAAAGGCAGGTCCTGCCAAACCAACCTGGTCTCCTTCTGTGACAAATGACCCACTCAGGAGCTGAGGAAAAGGCTGGGGATGTGTCTGTGATGACTTTAGGAAAGCCTTTGACCCCATCTCCCACAGCATCTCCTGCACAAACTGGCTGCTCATGGCCTGGACAAGGGAACTGTTTGCTGGGGGAAAAACTGGCTGATGGCCCAGGGAGTGGTGGGGGATGAAACTAAATCCAGGTGGGGCCTGGTCACTAGTGGGGTTCCCAAGGGCTCAGGGTTGGGGCTGCTCTTGTTTAACATCGTTATTGATGATCTGGATGAGGAGATCGAGTGGCCCCTCAGGAAATTGGTGGATACCATGAAGTTGGGTGTGAGTGTGGATCTGCTGGAGGGCAGGAAGGCTCTGCAGAGGGATCTGGACAGGCTGCATCAATCAGGCCAAGTGTCAGGGCCTCCTCTTGGGTCACAGCAACCCCCTGGAAGGCTCCAGGTTAGGGGCAGAGGGGCTTGAGAGCTGCTCAGAAGGAAAGGGACTTCGGGGTGCACCGACCAGCCCCTGCAGACCCTGGTAGTCCTGGCCTGTCTGTGCAGGTGAGCACAGTTTATTGATAGGAAGCAACCGAGAAAGGAAAAATTTTATAGTCTTTTTAAAATTCTTTTAATTCCCTTTTTACAAGCTAATACTGTAACAGAGGCTGTTCGTACTATTGTATGAACACCAATAGATTAAGTAGTTTTTTCTTGTATTCTTGTTTAGCTTTTGATCCTCTTTGCTAAGAGTTTTTTACTCTCACTGCAATAAAAGATGTTTTGTAGTGTTTGAATGACTGTTGTACTTGTCTCTGTTCCAGGCATGTATCCTAAAGAACCAATACAGAAAGCTCCTGAATTGTGTTTCTATCAATGCTCTTCTCCTTATCTGAGGACACAGAGCTTATTTACATCCTGTTTGTTTGTGTTACATCCTTTCTAAGAAAAGAAAAGAAATGTAAACCATAAACAACCTCCCTAAACATGAAAACACCAGTAACTACATGTCAGCACAAGCTCCCCCTAATGCTGTCACCTTTCTATCAGGGACAACGTTATCAGAAAGGTTTTTCACAGGTCAATACATCTCTGCTGCAGGCTGTGCTCCCCTGGCCCTGCTGCTCCTCTGGCCTTGCAGGCTGCACACACCCCTCCTGCTTTCCCACCCCCCTCCCAGCAGCATTTCTGGGCCCTCCCTGATGGCTCTGCTGTCCCCCAGCTCTGGCTGCTGCCATGTGCACTTGGCCTTCTTGGCTTGGATGCTGAGCCCCTGTGCCCCAGGACATCCCTGACAGAGCCCAGGCCCTTCTGCTGGGGGTCCCTGCAGAGCTGAGCAGATCCAGGTCACCTCCCATTGCTCTGCCAACCCCTTGGGGCTGCTCTGGGCCCTGCAGGTCCTTGCCCTGCTCCCAAGGGCTGTGGGGGTGCTTCATGGTCAGGCCTTGGGCTTTAGAGCTCAGGGTGGGGATTGGGCAGAACTTTGGCAGGTTTGTTGTTCTGCTGGCAGGGTCTGGTTTATGATTAGGGGAAGAGTTTTTGGACTGTGTCAGGATTAAAACTCAGCTGTTCATATTTGTAATACAGATTTGGGACTGGGGTGGGCATTGGAGTACAATTAAGAGTCTAGAGTTCTGGGTTTGTGCTTTTTCTGGCTTGGAATTAGAGCAGTGGATTCCTGTCAGTGGGAGGGGCAGCACTTTTGGGGAGTGTTGGGGATAAACGTCCATCAGGAGGGTTTGCACAGTCAGTGTTTCAGCACTCTCAGCATTCCCCAAACCTCTTTTTACCTCATTAAAATCTTTCCTCTCTATTGACCAACCCCCTCTTTCCTTACCCAAATATCTAATCCTTTTTGTCCCATTTCCTCCTAATCTCCCCCAAACTGTCATCTGGTTGGTGTCAGCTTTGTGATGACCCTGTGCAACCTCATGGAATCAAGGGGCCATTGTGGCACTGCACAAACTTTCTGAAGTCTGGGCACACAACATCCCCTTCTTTCCCTCCCACAGGGATTCTGCAATCCTTGACTTGTCCTTCCCATGCCTGGCAATGGCTGCAGGAGGACTTGCCATGGGCCCTTTCGCTGCTGAGCCTGAGCAGTCTGGAACTCTGCCAAGCCTCCTTGTTGCCCTGTTTGCACACTGGTTCATGTCTGCCTTTGCCAAGGCCCCAGGAACCTCTGGGATGGCTCTGGCATTTGTAGGGTTTGGAAGAGGTCTCCCAGTGACACTGCCCAGCCTTCTCAATATACCTGACACCAAAACCTTTTCTATTATCTCACAGTTCCAGTTTAGTGCTCAGGACAGAGCACATATAATTATGGTTCTTCAGGAGAAAATTAGAAGTGATTTTATTCTAAAGATCAACTGGTGGAGCAGCCAAGTCCTCTCTGGCCCCACAGCAGTGCCCACCCCAGGGAGCTGCAGAGCTCTGGGTACTCCCCCCACAGCCCCAGCCCCTCTGAAGGGCACCGCAGCTCCTGGGGCACAGACAGGAGTCTCAGCATCCCCATTAGCTCAGGGGCTGGACCCTCAGCACGGCAGCAGCAAATGGAGCTCAGGGCAACTGCAGGAGCCCTGGTGTCATCTGCAGCAGATGCCCAGCACAGCCTGACTGTGCCCCTCAGTGCCAGCCCCTCTGCCCAGCCCAGCACAGAGTCCTGGCCCAGGGACAGAGCAGCCTGTCCCCAGGGGGGCTGCAGAAAGAGCTTTCTCTGTGCCATGGATTCCTCTGTGCAGGCACAGAAATGCTGCCTTGCTCTTCTCCAGGCACATCCCTTTGCCCAGGGCAGTGTGTCCAGGCTGCCTTGGGCAATTGCAGATCCCAGCCTGGGATCCCTGCAGGGCCCTGAGCTGGAGGGGCTGCTCTGCAGAGGGAGGGGCTGTGGCCCCCTGGGCTGAGCCTGCACTGGCCATGCTGGTCAGGCTGGGAAGCAGAGCCAGCAGGATGGGGATCCCTCCTCTCCACCCTCTTCCATCTCCCTGGAAGGCTCAGGAGCCAAGAACAAGCTGGGCAGGACCATGGGCTGTTTGCAATGGCACAGAGGGCAGGGCAGGGCTCCACTCCATCCAGCCTGTGGGCTGCAGAGTTCTTCAGGACACCCTCCTGGAAAGCCCAGCCCTGGCTCTGGTACAGCCCTCCCTGAGCTGGGCAGGCACAGTGGGAGTTCACTGAGGGCAAGAGGAGTCACTGCCCAGAGTCCTTTCTCTGTTCCTCCTGCATTCCCTGGGATTGCAGAACTCTCCTTCCCCAGTTCCCAGGGACATTTACTGCTTTAGCTGTGGGTGACTCCACCCTGGGCAGGATTCTGCTCCAGGGCTCCAGTCACTGCTGACTGGATGGGACGGGCTGTCCCTGCAGATCCTCTGTGCTCTCCTGCAGTTCCTCATTTCCCACAGACAAGTCCTCCCCTGCCATCAGAGCCAGCACAAGCTGCAGAGCCCCAGGCAGGTGACTTGGAGACCATTTGCCACTGGCCACCAACACACAACATCTGACCCAGCCCTCAGGCCCTGAAGTACCACAGTGAGTCCTTCTCTCCCTGCACGGCCTGAATGGGTAAACAAGCCAAGCCAGGAGACTTTGGAGAATTTTTTCCTTGGCTTGTTCTTTACACCAACCTTTTAAAAGGAACAGAGTCTTCAAGAACTGCCCAGGGGGATCCTCTTTCCTGATGGAAATGATGTTAAGGAGCCCAGCCCTGTGCCAGCAGTGCCAGGGCCTGTCCCTGCCCATGGTCACAGCACTGACCCACAGCAGTGACTGAGCTGCCAGAGCACTCAGGCCTTGGGCAAGGAGCAGAAAGGAGAGGGAGGCAGTGGAAAAAGAGCATCTTTGAAAAGCCCAAGAGCTGCTGCTCCCTGGCAGTGCTCCTGTTCCAATACTCTTGAGCCCTTCTCCTCTGCACACAGGCACTGCCCTCCAGCTGCAGGGAAGTTCTTGGAGCAAGAATCTGGATGAAAGAACTCAAGTCCTTTAATATACTCAGAGATTGTGATTCCTCATGTACAGAATAACAAAGGCAGGATGTTTCACCAAGAGGTTCCTGCAGGACCTTTTATTTTGTTTAAATGCATTCAGGGAATGATTCCTCATTTACATAATTTTGGGTCAAAACAAAGAGAGAGAGAGTCAATTACATATGGGATGAAGAATAAATTTCTGTGTTAACAACATTAAGAATGGAAAAAATACAGGAAGGTTCCCCACTGCCACTCTCAAAAGCTTTAGAAGGCAGGTTGGGCCAATGAAGGGTTACACAGTGGGTGTTCTGCAGAAGAAAAGAGTCAGGTTATTGCTCCTGAAAAGCATCCAGTCATCATTTTCCTTATGGCATCCCTGAGCTCCTGGTTCCTCAGGCTGTAGATGAGGGGGTTCAGGGCTGGAGACGCCACCGAGTAGAGAACTGAAAGGGCCAGATCCAGGGATGGGGACAAAATGGAGGGGGGCTTGAGGTAAGCAAAAATCATGGTGCAGGCAAAGAGGGAGACCACAGCCAGGTGAGGGAGGCATGTGGAAAAAGCTTTGTGCCGTCCCTGATCAGAGAGGATCCTCAGCACAGCCTTGAAGATTTGCACATAGGAGAAAACTATGAAAATGAAACAACCAAATGCTATACAGGCACTAACCCCAAGAAGACCAATTTCCCTGAGGTAGCCTGAGTGTGAGCAGGAGAGCTTGAGGATGTGTGGGATTTCACAGAAGAACTGGCCCAGGGAAAATGTATTGGCTGTGTGCAGCAGAGCATTGAGAAACCCAGAGGCCCAGGCAGCTGCTGCCATGTGGGCACAAGCTCTGCTGCCCAGGAGGGTCCCGTAGTGCAGGGGTTTGCAGATGGCAACGTAGCGGTCGTAGCACATGATGGTGAGGAGGGAATACTCTGTTGAGATAAAGAAAAAAAAGAAAAAGAGCTGTGCAGCACATCCTGTGTAGGAGATGGTTGTGGTGTCCCAGAGGGAGTTGTGCATGGCTTTGGGCACAGTGGTGCAGATGCAGCCCAGGTCTGTGAGGGAGAGGTGCAGCAGGAAGAAGTCCCTGGGGGTGTGCAGGTGCTGGTCGCAGGCTACGGCGCTGAGGATGAGGCCGTTGCCCAGGAGGGCAGCCAGGGAGATGCCCAGGAAAAGCCAGAAGTGCAGCAGCTGCAGCTCCCATCTGTCTGTCAATGCCAGGAGCAGGAACTGGGCCATGGAGCTGCTGTTGGGCATTTGCTGCCTCTTGATGTGGGGCACTGTCCAAGGAGGAAATATCAGTGACACGTTAGCAAAGAACGTCCTGAGAAAAATCAAAGCCGTTTCCCAATAGACCCTCCGTGCTACGCTTCCCCACCTGTTTTGTTGGGTTTTTTTCTTCAAATTCCCTCATCTCTCCAGGAGTGTTCCTGGATGTCAGAACCCCTCAGCACTTCTGATGCGCTCAGGCAGAACAGAGCAGGTCCTGCCAGGCAGGAGGATTGTCTGGGGCTCAGTGCAGAGTGAGGGGAGCTGCTCTGTCCCCCTCTCTTGTTCCCAACTGCCCTGGGTTTGCTCCTTCCTCAGATGGAGACTGATCACACTCCAGTTTGGTCTGAAAAGCCCCAGACACTGCTGAGAGCAGAGGGATCCATCCCACACCCCTCAGTGTCTCAGCCTGTCTCAAGGGCTCAGCACCCCCCTTGTAGCCAAGGACACCCGTGGCTCATCTCACCAACCCAACAGCATCTCCTGGGCTGGCACAGCAGCTCTGCCCCTCTGCACTGGGCAAGCTGAGAAACAAGGAATGCACAGGGAGGGGCCAGCTGGGAGAGGCCAGGGCAGAGCCCACTGGGCACTCAGGGCACCTCCCCTTGAGCCAGCTGGGCCACCTCCCACACACCACCAGTGCCAGGAAGGTGTTCTCAGCCCTGTGCAGCTCCCCCGAGTTCCCTCTGGAACTCAAACCACCAGGCATGTGGCTTGAGAGCTTGAGAGAAATCCCTCCTTGGACCTTCCCCTTGAAGGATCCCCTGGAAAATGTGCTGGGCTGCTCTGGTTGTGTGAGCAGCCCTGCCCCAGGAAACTCTCAGCTGATAAGGGAAGAAACCTGCCCTTCCGTGCCAGGCTTTGCTCTTTCCCCCCACAGCCCCTGCCCAGCCCTGAGGGAGCTCCCCAGCCCGGCTGAGGCTGCCCCTGGCAGGTGGCAGAGCTGCTGCCCCGCACAGCCCCTGGGCTGCAGGACCCTGCTCTGCAGGACAGCTTGGGGCAGCCTGGGGGGCACAGCCCGGCTTCACAGCCCTGCAGGAGCCCTGGCAGAAGGGAACCCTGTTGGGATGGGCCTGGGATGCTGCAGCAGGGACTGGGATGTGCCAGCGCTCGCAGATCTTTGCCCAACCTGCAGACACCTTGCCCTTCCTGCTGACTGACCTGACACCAACACCCAGGGAGGAGTCTTCCTAAACTCTGAGGTGTTACTGAGGAGAACAGCAGGTCAGGAAACATCAATATCCAGTTAGCCAAGGGACAAGCCCAGGGACTTTTTTCAAAAGAAAAATCTGAATTCCACAAACATGTCATCCTAATACTTTTCATGTTTTCCCACAGTATTTTTGCCATTTTCCTGTGAGTTTGATCTGTCTCATTGAGGTCTCATTCAAATTTTCCAAGATGCAAAAAAAAGGTTGCATGAGAGAAAAGTCACCATGATTGTTTTCTAATCTACCAACTTCCTAATATAATTACATAGAAAAAGAAATATTCTTTTTTAAAACCAAAAGAAACCCCTGAGATATCCACCTTCATTTCAAAGGCAACCATTCACATGCAGATTATCCACATACCAGCAATGCCTGCTTGTCCCCAAATGTTGTCAAAGATGCAGCCTCCTCTTTTGAATTCTCAGGTGTCTCCCTGCTCCAAAGATCTGGGCTGGAGCCCAGGGCAGGCCGGCTTTGCTCCCAGGAACCTGACAGAGCCCTTCTTAGGTGGTGCCAATCTCACAGGCAGCCTTTGCCAAAGCTGGAGGAAGCCTGAAAAGGAAGGAAACTTCCCCAAAGCCAACCAGGCTTTTCTCAGCAGCTGAGCTGCTGCCCAGAGCCTTTGCCTCCCTGCACTCAGGGCCTCCAAGGAGCTGCTGCAGAGTCCCTGGGGAGGTTTTGTCAGGAGAGGCCCTCTGAAGGCACTCACTTAAGGAAGGCTTTGAAACATAAAAGGTTAAAACAAAATTGTAAAAAAAACCTTAACATTAGGAAATTAGGAAACCACGGAGGTAATAAATTGTCTGAGGGAACAGAACATGTTGACAAAAGGATACTAAAACCATAAAGATAACACAAAACAAGGAAATAGTAGCATCAGCAAATCCTAGGATGAGCCAAAAGTCAGCCTGACCTTATTATGTTTGCCAAAACTGCCTTAAAAGGAGAAGATCTAAAGAAAGTTCAGAAGTTTACAGTGAGGAAGACTCACACACGACCCCCTGCCCAGAGGAAGGCAACAGGAACCCCCACCGTGAAATCTCCCCAAATTGAAGACTCCGCCCAGACTCCGCCTATATATGAATATTACAAGTAGATGTTGCAATTTAATGAATACGCATGATTGTGTTGTAATCCTATACTCAAAAACTGTATAAAAGAGCTATGCTGATTGTACACGACGGAGCTCTTTGCCCAGGGCGACCTGGAGGGCTCCCCAACGCGTTGCAATAAAATACCTCCTGCTTTAAAGAAACAAACTTTGTCTCTAAAGCAGTTTCTCCGTGCCTTTTGGGGCAAAATTTCGGCATCACCTCGGGGGCTCCTTAAGGCTTCAAGGGCCTGCAGGATTTTTAGAGCAATTTGAGGTTTGCTTTTGGTTCTGCATCTCTGAGAGGTTTGTGCAACCCTGGCCTCCAATTATCTGCTGTAAGGAGTCCCTTGAGAGCCTCAGACAGTGACAACCCTCAGTGGGTCATTAATGCTTCAAGGCACTCAGGGTTTCCTAAAACATTTAACTTTTTGACACTGAGTCTGTGAGAGGTTTGTTCAGTCCTGGCCCTTAATTATCTGCTTTAATGAGTCCCCTGAGAGACTGTCAGTTGTGACACTCACTGTAGCTCATAAATGTTTCAAGGCACTCAAGGTAAATTTGTTAAGACACTTCTTTTTGACACTGAGTCTTTGAGAGGTTTGTTCAGTCATGGCCTCCAATTATCTGCTCTAAGGAGTCCCTTGAGAGCCTTTGTCAGGAATGGCCCTCAGTGGGGCTTGTTAAAGCTTCAAAGTACTACAGGTTTGTTAAGACACTTTGCCTTTTCCTTTGACTCTGAGTTTTGAAGAGGTTTGTGCAATCATGGCCTCCAATTCTCTGCTTTAATTAGTCCCTGGAGAGACTTTGTAAGCAGTGATACTCAGTGGGGTTATTAATGCTTCAAGGTAACCAAGGGTTTTGAAGGAACTTTTCCTTTTGAAAGTGAGTTTTGAGAGGTTTATTCAGTCATGGCCTCCAATTCTCTCCTCCACCAAGCCCATGAGGAACCTGTTTTGGGAATGGCCCTCATGGGGACCCATTAATGCTTCCAGATACTTTGGGTTTTCCTTCTGACTTTCACTTATGGACAGGTTTGTACAATCTCCCCTCAGGACCTGAGGTTCAAGGACTCAGCACCAAAAGCCCCCCGGGGCTCTCTCAGATAAAGCAAGTCCTGACAAACCATGGCCCTTCCTGTGATTTCCCTCTAGTCTAAACAGTAAATTAGGAATGTTGTCTCATGGAATCAGGGGACCATTGTGACACTGCCCAGAGCCTTTGTCTGCCTGCACTCCTGGCCTGCAAGGATCTGCTCTCAGGAGTCCCTGGGGAGGCTTTGTCAGTGCCTATCCTCAGTGGGGCCCAGCAATGCTTCAAGAGACTGGGAGTTTGGCTTCTCACTTCTTGAGCAGCTTCTTCAATCTTCTCTCAGTACGTCTGGATGATGGACTTGTCTCTAAACACACCATGGGACTCATTAAAATACAGAAAAAGCAAATTGTTTTTCTTTTTTTCTTTACTTGTCTTCATGTCTTCAAGTCTTCAACAACTAATTGGAGTTTTTTTGTAGTTTAGCTAAGGAGGAAAATTTCAAAGAGGAGCTCCCAAAGAAAGCTATTTTTTTTATGAAAGGGAATGATTTACACAGAGCCTTGGGATGCAAGAAGGTCAGGGTGCAAAGAGTTTGGATACAAAGAAAAGGGGACAAAAGAGATTAGTAGCATTTAACCATTCACCAACTTAACAGTTATCAAGGGATTCAGTAGCATTTACTACAATTGAACAGTGACTGAATTATAGATTTCAAATAACAACACTCACACCAGAGTCAATTCACGCTGTTGTCTCAGACCTTTTTGGGTTTTTTTACCTTTTGTAGATTTTAGAACTAGTTGTGTAGTGAATATATTCAAAGTAGCTGTATTACATCTCTTACCACTAACAGAGTAGTTACACATACCCAACCCTACTACCCCATTCCATATCAATCCCTCTAAACTCCGTTTTTAGTCTTCTTTTCGAGGTAGAATTGTAGAAAACCATCCCAGGGCCTGGACCAGAAGACATCACACAGACACAGTGACCTTCTAGGCAGAACATTTAGGAACTCCCAGGATTGTGTGTGCTGCAAAGAAGATGAAGATGAGGATGAGGAAGGGGCCCCAAAGGTACCAAACCCAATTCCTGAAGGGGTGTGTCAGGGGGCAGAATGGAGCAGAACAGGGGCATGCATAAACCTGGGATTGGATGGACCTTATTATAAAATCATAGAACCCCTGTCTGGGAGGGCACACATGGTATGTATTCCTGTAGGCCTAACAGCTCATTAAAGGCCCAGGTCTCTTTATCTTATCTCCTACCTAAATTGGCCTGGAGTCTTTTTCTCCATGGTCTCTGAAGGCAACAACACCCACACCCAGGCAGAGATGTGTGGACACATCAAGATCTGGGTGTGTAAAGGTCCCTCTCTGAAAATCTCCTGGTTGTCAGTGAAACACCACTACAAATCCCTTTGTGTTTCCCAACAGAAGAGGTTCCAGGAGGCCATTCAGGGTCCCTATGGCCTCTTTATTCCATGAGTTCCCACAGTGTCACAGAGACCCCTTGATGCCACGAGTTTCTGTGCTTTTCATGTTACCTTGGGTTGATTAAGGACCTGCACTGTCTCACTGGGCCCTTGATTCCACCAGGTTTGACAGTGTCACAATGGTCCCTTCAGCTCCAGGAGGCTCTGCAGGGTCCCCATGGCATTCAGCAGTGCAATAGTGGTCCCTTCATTCCATGAGTTTCCCCAGTGTCCCAATGGCCCCTGGACTCCACATGGCCCTGCAGTGTCCCCACAGAGCCTTTGATTCCAGGAGATTGCACAGGACGAGCCCTGGGAGGTCCCCATGGAGCCCCCAGGACAGCAAAGTGACCTCCCGGCTCTGGAGGAGCCCTGAGAACTTCCCCAGGGGAAGGGCCTGATTGTGCCCTGGGATGGGGCAACCCCGGATGGACACACTGGGAATGAGAGGCTGGGAAGCAGTGCCAGGAAAGGGCCCTGGGGGTGCTGGTGGGTGCCAGTTGTCCCTGAGTCAGCAGTGCCCTGGCAGCCAGGAGGGCCAAGCCTGTGCTGGGGGCATCAGGGAGGGGATTGTCCCGCTCTGCTCTGCCCTGGGGCGGCCTCACCTGCAACATTGGGGCAGTTTGGGGGGACACAATGGAAGGGAGAGATTGAGCCATTGGAGAGTGTCCAAAGGAGGCAGCAAAAATGGGGAAGGGTCTTTATTTAAAGCCATGTGAGGACACTGAGAGCACTTGGGGTGTCCAGATGGAGAAGAGGAGACTGAGGGGAGACCTCACTGCAGTCACAACATCCTGGGCAGGGGCAGAGCAGGGGCAGGCCCTGAGCTTCTGCTCTGGGTTCTTTTCCCAGAGGGTGGTTGGCACTGAACAGGCTCCCCAGGGCAGTGGGCACAGCACCAAGGCTGCCAGAGCTCCAGGAGCACTTGGATGATCCTCTTGGGGCACAGGCTGTGACTCTTGGGGATGGGCCTGGCCAGGGCTGAGGGTTGGATTCCATTACCTCCCCTGTTCCACCCTGTTTTCCAGCCACCCTATGCCCCCCTGGAATTGCCTCAGAGGTCATAAAGCCACCTCTGGGGCCAGGTGCCAACAGCTTCCTTACTCTCTTCTTCTCTGGACCTCGTGCTTCTGGCACGCTTTCCTGCCCTCTGGAACTGGTCCAAGGCCTTGGCTGAGTCTCGTGGATGTGTTTTCTGTCCCGTCTCACCTTCTATCAGTCTCTTCACAGGTGCAAGAACCGTCTCTGTTTTTACCAAAATTCTTGCCTGTAAAGGATCTTCAGAAGAAATGGTAACTCTGCACTTTCCCTCGAGACCTTCCAAGCTCACTAAACTCCACGAGTTCTGTGGTAGCTTTGTCCTTTTCAAGAACTTGTCTAAAATACAGCAATTCTATGGCTGACAATTTCTAATACAGTTCTTTATTTCACAGCTACCCCCAAGGTGGTCCCAGTTGCTCCCAGGTCCCCCAGGATGGTTCCTTTCCCTCTCAGGGACTCCCAGTCTGAGTCCAGGATGGCCCCAAGCACTGTCAGTCACTGCCTGGATGATGCCATTTGCCCCTGCATGGTCCCAGTTGCTCCCAGTATGATCCCAGTATGAGTCCAGTCACCACCAGTATGATCCCAGGAACTTCCAGACACTTCCAGTACGAATCCAGTGTGATCCCACTCATCCCCAGTATGGCTGCAGTCCTTCTCACTCACTGCCAGTGTTATTGCAGTCACTCCCAGGATGATCCCTGTCAGTCCCACTGTGATCCCAGTATGAGCCCAGCAGGGGCCCAGCTGCTCCCACTATGATCCCAGTTGCCCCCAGTGTGGTTCCAGTTGCTCCCATTAACCACTTCTCTGGTTCCAGTAACTCCCAGGATGATCCCAGTCACTTCCAGTACAATACCACACTATCCTAGGAGGATCTAAGTTACCCCCTGCATGGGCCCAGTTGCTCCCAGTCACCCCACTCTAGTTCCAGTCCCTCCCAGTATGATCCCTGTCACTGCCAGTCTCTCCCAGTATATCCCAGTCAACCTCAACACGCTCCCAGTCACACCAGTTATGCTCCCTGTCATTCCCATTGTGGTCCTGGTCGCTCCCAGTATGATCCCAGTTGCCCCCAGCGTGGTGGTTCCAGGATGGATCAGGAAGAGGGAGCCCCGTGTGTCCCCCCCGTGTCACCCCGTTCTGGGGGGGCTTTGGGGGACACCTGCACCCCAACACGGCACCCAGCGCTCCCCAAAAGGTGCTGGGACCCTCCTAAACCGACCCCGAGCCCCCCAAGGACTCCCCAAACCGCTCTGAGCCCACCCAGACCCCCCAAATCCCTCATGTGGGGAAACCTCTATTGGCACTGGTGGTGCCGGAGCCCCCCCGGCTGCGGGGGCAGCTCCTCCGTGTGTGGGCAGAGCCGCAGCCCCAGCGCTCCCCACCTCGAGCCCACCGGACCCTCCCTCGCCCCCAGCGCCCCCCGGGACGGCAATTTGGGCAGGGGGGAGGGGAAGGGGGGGGCTCAAAGGGGGCGCTGGGGCTGGGCCGGGGGGGAAGGGCTGCAGGGGGCGGATCCCGGAGGCGGAAACACGAAAAAAGCGCCGGGACAGCCAAGGCAGGAGCCCGACTGAAGGACAAAGAAGAGGAGGAAGCAGCACGTGGGGGTCGCTCGGTAATGCGGGGGGCGAGACCGGTTTTGGGGTCCCCCGTAGGAGCCGGGGGGAACCCCGGTAGCCGCGGAGTGGGGAGGGCGGAGAGGGTCGATCCCGGAGCTGGGGGATCCCCGCAAACCGGGAGTGTGGGGGGAGCACAGAGGGAACGCCGAGCCCCTTAAACGGGGGTCGCGGAGAGGGGGAACCCCTTGGAGTCTGGAGAGGAGGGGGGAGCAGCAGTGGGGGGAGGGGGGGGGAGGAGCCGGTACCCTGAATAGCCTGGAGAGAGCGGGGACCCCTGGGACCGACCAGCACTCCGAAGGAGAAAGTCAGGGGAGAAGGGAGCACTGAGATCCCCAAAATCCCCGGCATCCCTAAAGATGACTCTATAGAGGGAAACCCCCAGGACCCACCGGACCCCCTGTCAGCCTGGAGAAGGGGGAGCCCAGAGCACCCAAGGGGGGAGCCCATAGAGGGGACCCCTGGATTCCTGGGACTCCCTTCTACCGGGAGAGGACGAGCACCAAGGAAGGGGGAACCCCCAATAAATGCAGGACCCTCAGCAGCCCAGAGAGGAGAAAACAGAGAGGGGGAACTCCTGGGAGTTTTGGGCTGAATCTTGGTGGTTTGGAGGTTTTTATGGGCTCGGGAGAGCCAGGGGTGGGGGGTAGGAACAGCGGAGTGGGGAGACCAGAGGGATACTGGAGCTGGGGGACCCCCAGCTGGCTGGAGGGGGAGCACGGAGAAGGGGGAGGCCCAGGATCCCCGGGACCCTGAAACGAGGGGGCCCAGAGAAGGGGGAGCCTGGACAGGGGACAACAAAGTGGAGAACCCGGAGCGGGGCAATGTCTGGGAACCCGGCACCCTGAAGCAGAGAACCAGGGGAGAAGGGACCCCTAGGACCTCCAAAACCCCCTGGCATCCCTAGGTAGGACCCCCAGCAGCCCAGAGAGGGGAGATCCCCAGACTCCTAGAGTGAAGAGAGCAGAGAAGGGGAACTTCTGAGAAGATTTTTCTGAGCTGAATCTTCATAGTTTGAAGTATTTTCTGGCTGAATCGTGATCTTTTGTAGATTTAGGGGGAGTTTTTGAGGTTTTTTTTTTTTCCTCAAATCTCAGTGTTTTATGTTTTTCCAGGCTAAATCTTGGTGTTTTGGAGGTTTTTAGGTCCCAGGATGGCCGGTGAGTCCTAGGGATGGACTTGGGCAGGAGGAAACCCCAAGCCAACGCACTCAGCCCCTGTTTCCCCCCAGCAGGATTTGTCCTTCCCAAAGCTTGGGCGGATGGAGGAGGAGGCTGCAAGGAAGATGCCTCGGGCCCCCCAGGAAGGTGAGGAGGAAGTCAGTGCCCCTTTGGCCCTGTCTTGTGGTGCATCTGTTGAGCAGCCTCCCAGCAGGGAGAAGCCCTTCAGGTGCTTGGAATGTGGGAAGAGCTTCAGGGAGAGCTCCAAGCTCATCACTCACCAGCACATCCACACTGGGGCACGGCCCTACATGTGTAGGGAATGTGGGAAGAGCTTCAGGAACAGCTCCAACCTCCACGCCCACCAGCTCATCCACACTGGGGAACGGCCATACATGTGTAGGGAATGTAGGAAGAGCTTCAGGCAGAGCTCCCACCTGATCCAACACCAGCACATCCACACTGGGGAACGACCCTACACGTGTAGGGAATGTGGGAAGAGCTTCATGCAGAGCTCCCACCTGATCCGACACCAGCTCATCCACACTGGGGAACGGCCCTACAAGTGTGAGAAATGTGGGAAGAGCTTCAGTGACAGCTCCAACCTCCGCACCCATCAGCGCATCCACACTGGGGAACGGCCCTACAAGGGCTTGGAATGTGGGAAGAGGTTTAGGACCAGCTCACATCTCCTCCTGCATGAGCAGACACACACAGGGGAGAGGCCCTTCCGCTGCACCGACTGCGGGAAGGGCTTCAACCAGAACTCCACCCCTGTCACCCACCAGTGCATCCACACCGGGGAGAGGCCCTAAAAGTGTGGGAGTGTGGGATGAGCTTCACTCACAGCTCTGCCTTGACCAAACACCAACGGACCCACCCTATGAGTGCCCTGAATGCGGGAAGAGCTTTGGCCGCTGCTCCCACCCTGAATGACCCCCCTGATGGTGAGGCCAGTGACTGTCAGTCCATCCCTTTCTACCAGAAAGAGCCAGTCCCCTTTCCCAGGGGCAGGTTGTGCTAACAGAACCCTTCTTGGGGGTGTGTGGAGATTCCTGCCTTGGCTGGGGACCCCCTAAATTCACTACTGGAGGTTGAGAGCAGAGATCTCCCCAGGAGCGTTGATCTGGGCGAGTTCCATCCATGTCTAATTCATAATTCTTGCTTTGGTGCCAGCTTGAGTAGAATTGCTTCAACAATTGCTTTAGGGTAGAGCGCTGTCCTATCTTACCCTGTACTAATGGTAGTTACTAATGGTAGTTTTAGTATTTCTATTATGTGGTAAAAAATTCTGATGAAGGTGTTTTGTCTGATTGTTTGTAACCCTAAATAATTCATTTCTATCAATAGATCTGATTTGCCATCATTAAAACTTGGGGGACAAAAGTGGTTCAGTCCCACGTCTGTAATTTCTTTGAACTGAAAGTGTTGGCATAACCCAAGGCTGAGATTGGATCCAGCAACCCCCACACCACACAGTAAGTTGGGAGCTCAGGGGGGCCACCCCTCTTCCCAACTCTTCTGTGCCCAAAGACCCCCATGGGACCATCAGACCCACCAGACCACCCCCCTTTTCCACCCTTATCTCTGTTTCTCCCAATTTTCCGTGGTCTCCTGTTACAATCTACTTAAATATTGCAGAAAGAACTTCAGACTCGAATATTCCCTTGAGCAAAAGTAAGACACAGACAAGTTATGTGTTGATACCAAAATCCTGATTTTATTAATTGCTAAGAGATGCAGAGACAAAGGAAAAAATAAAAGAACTTATAAAATAGTTATGATTACTTCTAGAAGCAGAGAAAAGGTACCACCGTGCTACCTTTCCCCTGAGCTGGTGTGTGTGTGGGCAAGTACTAGTTTTCTGCCCTTTTTTGTCTCTGTCTGACAGAGAATGTTTGATAGGAAGATTTTGATGGGGAGAAACAATAGAGAAACATAATCTTTGGCATTCATAAATTATCTGTTTGCTACAGATGGTTTCCGTGGTAACCGATGTAACAATGGGAATGCATCATGGTTACCATGGTAACCCACCCTGGAGATGAACATGTATAATGCTTGCCATGGTAACTAACCATAACAATGAGATTTCAGAATGGTTGCCATGGTAACCAAGGTAACAATAAGACAGCACAATGGTTGCCATGGTAACCGACTGTAACAATGAGAATGCATAATGGTTGCCATGGTGTAAGGTGGTATTTTTGATTTAGATGATCAGTGGAGCATACAGGGTTTAGAACGTGATTATATTTGCATGTGAAACCAGCCAGAATATTGTACAAGGCGACTTTATTGCACAAGTTCACTGCAAGGCCCATTGTGCCTTTAGCAAAGTTAACTGGATATCCCCCATTATCAGAGCTGAGCTCCTCCTTGGCTTGGCTCCACTCTGCAAGAGAGATACAAATCCCCTTGAAACACAATGGTACAGGTCGTCTAGAGGGCTGAGGAAGGTGATGAAGATGATGTGGGCAGGGGTCGTTGGCCCCTTGCCCTACAGTGGGGCACGCCCAGACTGTTGCCATGAGGTGATGAACGGGCGCTGTTTGGCTGCCACTCAAGCACCACCTTCTGCTGCGTCCTGGCCCTACGTAGTGTAATGTAGAGCTGATGGAATGGGGTGTCAGCACTGCTGGGTGGAGCGATGCTCATCCTTCCATCCACACTGTGCTGCTCCGCGGGGACACCCACCAAGCACGGGCACCGACCAGCCCTGCAGAGCCTGGTAGGCCTGGCCTGTCTGTGCAGGTGAGCACAGTTTATTGATAGGAAGCAACCAAGGAAGCAAACATTTTATATCCTTTTTTTTTGTATCCCTTTAATTCCCTTTTTACTAGCTAATGCTGTAACAGAAGCTGTTCATAGTATTGTATGCATGCCAACTGATAAAGTAGTGTTTTTGTATTCTTTTTCAGTTTTTGATTCTCTTTGCTAGTAGTTTTTTCTTTTTACTCTCATGGCAAAAAAAGATTTTTTGTAGTGTTTGAATGACTGTTGTACTTCTCTTTATTCCAGACATGTATCCTAGCAAACCTGGTACATGGGGTCATACTAGGAGTGACTGGAAGCATTCTGAGGGCAGTTGGGACCATGTTGGCACAACTGGGATATACTGGAGGTGACTGGGATCATACTGGGAGCGACTGGGATGACACTGGGGGTGACTGGGAGTGGTTGTGAGCAACTGGGATCATGCTGGAAGCTACTGGGAGCAACTGGGAGTGAGTGGGACCACACTGGGGGCAACTGGGATATACTGGGAGAGACCAGGAGTGACTGGGATCATACGGGGACTGACTGGGAGAAGGCTGAGGTCGACTGGGAGAGACTGGATGTGACAGGGATCCTACTGGGAGGGACTGGAACTGTAGTGGGTGAGTGGGAGCAATTGGACCCTGCTGAGGTCAAATGGCTTTATACTGGGAGTGACAGGGAATGTCTGGGTTCATCCTGGCTGTGACTGCCACCATAGAGGTGTCACTGGGATCATACTGGAGTCATACTGGGAGGGACTGGAACTACAGTGGGTTGACTGGGAACAACTAGGATCATGAAGGGGGTAAGTTGGATCCTACTAAGAGAGACTGGGATCATACTGGGACCGACTGGGAGTATGCTGGAGGCAACTGGGCTATACTAGGAGTGGCTGGGAGTGACTGGGATCATTCTAGGAGTGACTGGAACCACAGTAGGGCTGAAGGGGAGCAACTGGAAGCCTGCTGGGGGCAACTGGGATCATAGTGGGAGTAGCTGGGCCCCTCCTGGGGTCCTGCTGGGATCTTACTGGGAGTGACTGCAATAACACTGGGAGTGTGTGAAGGACTGCAATCATACTGGGGATGAGTGGGATCACACTGGATTTTTACTGGAAGTGTCTGGAAGTTAGTGGGATGATACTGGAGGTGACTGGACTCATACTGGGATCATACTGGAATCAACCGTAACCACACAGGGAGCAAATGGCATCGTCCAGGCAGCACCTGAAAGTGCCTGGGGCCATCCTGGACTCAGACTGGGAGTCCCTGAGAGGGAAAGGAACCGTCCTGGGTGGGGCTGGGAGCAACTGGGACCACCTTGGGGGCAACTGGGATCCAATTGGGATTGACTGGGAGTGACTGGGACCATAGTGGGAGTGACCAGCGCCATACTGGGATCATAGTAGGAGTGACTGTAAGGGACCAGGATCAAACTAGAACTATGCAGGGGGGAACTGGGAACCAATTGGACCATGCTGGAAGCCAACTGGGAACATACCTGGAGCAACTGGGATTGTGCTGGAAGCAATTGGGAGCAACTGGGAGTGACAGGGTGCATGCTGGAGGCAACTGGCATCAACTGGGAGTGACTGGGATCACACTGATGGGAACTGGGACCATCCTGGGGCAAGTGGAAGTCACTGGGTGTCAGGGGTTTCTGTGGCTGGGTTTTGGTAGCGGGGGGGGCTCCAGAGGTGGCTTCTGTTGGGAGCTGCCAGAAGCTTCCCCTGCCCCGTGGAGCCAATGCCAGCTGCTCCAGGACGGACTTGCTGGTCAAGGCTGAGCCCATCAGGAGCAACAGGAACAGCTCTGGGATAACAGATTTAGGGCCAGAAGGAATTGCAGCCAGGGAAGAGCGGAGTGGGAATGTGGGAACAGCAATGCAGACCCCAAGGGTGGTGGAGAAGGAGGGGCAGGAGGTACTCCAGGCACCAGAGCTGAGGCCCTGCAGCCCCTGGGGGAGCATCGGGGTGCAGAGATCCCCCTGCAGCCCCTGGAGGCTCCCACGCTGGAGCAGGGGGATGCAGGAAGGAGGCTGTGACCCCGGGGCAGGCCCAGGATGGAGCAGGTCCTGGCAGGGACCTGCAGCCCGTGCAGAGGGAAGCCCAGGCTGGAGCAGGTTTTTCCCAGGCAGGACTCATGACCCCTCTGCTCATCCCTGAAGGACTGACCCCATGGAGGAGGGACCCACGGGACAGCAGGGTGGGAAGAGCTGCTGCCCGAGGGATGGACTCACTGCAGAGGTCCATCCAGGACTGTCTCCCATGGGAGGGCCCCTATGGGAGCAGGGAAGGATCCAGCTCCTCTCCCTGAGAAGTGACAGAAACAACAACTGACTGTAACCCTCATTGCAGTCCCCCTGCACCGCTGGGGTGAGGAGGGAGAAGGTGGAAGGAGGGGTGGGGGGGAAGGTGTTTCTCAGACTGTTCTATTTCTCACTCTTGGTTTTTATACTGTCAGTAATAAATTTAAGTACTATCCTTACTTTGAGTCTGTTTTACCCATTAGGAAGTGACTTTCTCCCCACCCTTATCTCTACTCAGGAATCCTTAACTGGTTTTTTTCTCTCCTCTGTGGAGTTGCAGAGGGAGGGGGAGGTAGCAGCTTCTAGTGGGTGTTTGAAATCCAGCCAGGGTCAACCCACTAAACCAACCCATGTGCTTGAGGACCTTTTGTGAGGTCACAACCCATCTTCTCCATTCTGGAATAGCCCTTGGCAACCAAAGAACCAACACCCCACCAGGTCAGAATGCAGCCCCACCCATGTGCCCCTTTAGGATGTCCCGGCCCATCCTCTCCATTCTGGAATAGCCCCTGGAAACCAAAGAACCAACGCCCCACACCCCCACAGTGCAGCCCCACCCATCTGCCATGGGACTTTCCCCCAGGAAAGAAAGCCTGTAATCTTCGGGTTTCAGGTGCAGTTGGTGGGACACCCTGGGCTCTCCATGGGCAGCAAGAGCTTTCTGTCCTGGCACCTTTTGTCTGGCAGGAATCTTTGTCCAGATTCCAATTTGGCAGTCGGACTGACAATTCCAGTGCGGGGCTCCTGCAAGCGAACAACAGCCCTGCCCTCCAGGAAAGAAACCCCTTACCCTCGGTCTCTTTTCCTCTTCCTTCAAATACAACCTGCAGGGCAGCTTTCTGCCATCTCTTCTCTTGGGAATTGTGAAGATAGACCCGCTCCCATGTTTAACATGTTGCCTAAATGGCTGTGGGGAAAAAAAGACTCCAAGCCAAATTAGGTAGGAGATAAGATAAGGATACAAAAGTTTTAATGAGCCCCCAGGCTTTCTGGAATACCCCAGCGCGCTCCCGAAATACAGATGTCCACAATTTTTATAATGATTTTTGCCCAATCCCTGTCCTGTTACCACCCAGGTTCTGCCCCCGCCACGCCTCTTGGGAATTGGGTCTGGGGGCGTTTTGGGACCCCCTCTTCTTCATCT